CGGGGAGGTCGCCAAGCAGATGTTGGAGGTTTCCTCGGATTTTGGAATCAGGCACCGACCCCTCCGGGCTGCAGACGTGGCCCGCGGGCACCAGGGGCTGGCACAGGGTCCGAGGGGGCGGGGACGCCTGTAAGGGGTGCCCCCCCCGCTGGTGCCACCATCCCGGTGTCACGGCCGTGCCGCAGAGCAGCACAGCCGCCTCGGAGGGGGCTCAGCGACCCCCAAACCGCGGCTGCCGGGCGCTGCAGACGCCGCCGGTGCCGGTGCGCGCAGGGACGGGGGGAGCGGAGCCGCGCCCCCCCCTCCTCTCAGAGCTCTTCTCCCCCTCCCCGCCCCGCTTGGCCCCGCAGGTCTGTGCGCGCCGCCGCCCCGCAATGCTGACGGCGGTCTGCGGCTCCCTGGGATCGCAGCCCTCGGACGCGCCCCGCGCCTCCCCGACCCACCTGGACCTGCAGCCGCTCCAGCCCTTCCAGCCGCACGGCCCCGCCGCTCCCGGGGCCCCCGACTTCGCCTCGCCGCTGCCCCCGCCCGAGCTACCGCTCCCGGGGCCCGACGACGCCGCGTTCGCCGCCGCCGCCGCCGGCGCCTACGAGCCCCATGGCCCCCCGAGGTTAGAGCTGCCCCCCGACGGCCCCGCCGCCCCCGGAGCCTACGCCAAGCTGCTGCCGGCCGCCCCGGACATGGCGCATCCCTACGAGCCCTGGTTCCGGCCCCCGCACCCCGGAGCCCCCGGCGAGGAGGGCGGAGGCGTCAACTGGTGGGACCTCCACGCCGGAGCCAGCTGGATGGAGCTGCCCCCCGGGCAGGGCGGGGGGCTGCAGGTGCCCGCGCACCCCGGGCTGCCCGCGGGGCTGGGCGGGTACGGCGGGGGCGAGCACCAGCTCTGCGCGCCCCCCGCCCACCTGCTGCCCCCGCCCGCGCAGCATCTCCTGGCGGCCGAGGGGGTGAAGGCGCTGGAGGGGCCCCCGGAGCCGCGGGGGCCGGAGGGCGAGGGCGGGGGGCGGCCCAAGGGGGCCCGGCGGGCCGTGCCCAGGGGCGGGGGGCAGGCGGCGTGCCGCTGCCCCAACTGCCAGGAGGCCGAGAGGGGGGGTCCGTGCCCCGAGGGGGCGAAGCGCAAGCACCTGCACAACTGCCACATTCCCGGCTGCGGGAAGGCGTACGCCAAGACCTCGCACCTGAAAGCCCACCTGCGCTGGCACAGCGGCGACCGGCCCTTCGTGTGCAACTGGCTCTTCTGCGGCAAGCGCTTCACCCGCTCCGACGAGCTGCAGCGGCACCTCCAGACCCACACGGGCGCCAAGAAATTCTCCTGCCCCGTCTGCGGCCGCGTCTTCATGCGCAGCGACCACCTGGGCAAGCACATGAAGACGCACGACGGGGGCAAGGACGGGCCCGAGCCCGAGGGCAAAGGCGCCGGGGACCCGTCGGCCGCCAAGGGAGGCAAGAGGGAGCCCGAGGGGGGCACGGCCGCCCCCACAAACTGAGCCGCTGAGCCCCGGGGGGGGCACGGATGGCCGGGGGGACCCTTCGGGGCCGGTCTCCGGAGGGATTGGGGCCGGGGGGTGGGCGCAGGGCTGGCACCTTGTGCTGGGAGCGGCGGCGAGGCCGGGCGCGGGGCGGGGGGCTCGGCCCCGGTTTTTTCGGGAGGCTGCTGGCAGGCGGCGGGGCTGTTTGGGAGGAACATCAATGGGAGCCGAAGGAGCAGGAGCTGCCCGGGCACGTCCAGCCCAAAGGGGAGGAAGGAGAAGGAGAAAGGGAGAGAGGAGAGGAGAAACCCGCGAGCCTCGGCTCGGGGAGGGCGGCCGCAGCCCCCCGGCGCCCTCCCCACGGTCCCCTCCGAACTGTGGCACCCCGGGCTCAGCCCCCACCCGTGCCAGCCCCGTTCTCCCGTCACCCACGAGGCGTTGGCACAGCCACCCACGGGCGACACGCGGGGGGTCGGGGGCTGGCGACATCCCCCCGCCCCAGCTGTGGACGCTGAGCTGGCGGGGGTCCCCCCGCCTCGGAGCCCCGCTTTGGCTGTGGGGCTCGTGGGTGTAAAACCCATTTTTGGCCTGAATCGTGGCTAAAACGGAGAGAAAGGGAAGAAAAAAAAAAGAAATCCTGCGCGACAGTGAGCCGTGGGGAGCTCGGGGGGCTGCGGGGGCCGCGGCGCGGTTGCCCAAGCGCACACCTGCAGCTTTCCCACGCCCACCGCCGCGGCCCCGGGCGGGAAGCACCGGGGCGGCCGCGGGCCCGGGAGAGCCGGGACGGCCGCATTCCTCCGGCCTGGCACGGCCGCGCTGCCCGCCCGCCGCCCCGAGACCCCCGCCCCTCCCCGCGGGGCATCCCCCCGTCCCGGGACGGCCGCCCGTGCCCCCTTGGCCCGGCTGGGGGCCGCAGCCGTCCCCCGGTCCCCTCCGGGACCCCGTGTCCCCTCCGTGCATGCTGCCTGTCCCCCCGTGGCCCCGTAGCCGTCCCTCCCCGGGATCCCGTCATTCCAGGGAATTCTGCCTGGCCCCCTGCATGCTGCCCGTCCCCCCGGGGACCCCAGAGCTGTCCCTTCCCGGGTCCCTGCGCTCCCGGGACACCCCGGGCCTTCCCCCAGCAGGGACCCCGTAGTTTTCCTCCCCCTGTCCCCGGGGCACCCCGTGTCTGTCCCACGCCCCTGGCCGGGGGTCCGTGAGTCTCGGTTTTTGGATCTTTTGGGGTCTTACACCCCGATTTTGGCAGAACCCCTCGGACGCAGAAGGAGAGGCTAGAGCCGGGACCTGGGGAGGGGGGGTTTGGGGGGGGGTTCACTGGCTGCTTGAGGCACCCGGGGGTCCCCCCGGCGCTGCCCCCCAGCCAACACCAGTTCAAACCAGTTGGGAATCTGGGGAGGGGGGGAGATCTGGGGGGCGCTGAGCCCCCGGTCTGGCCCCTCCTGGGGGGCTGCGCCGGGGGCTGCCCGGGCTGGGAGCACCCCGAGGTTGGGGGGAAGGGGTAGAGGTGAAGTCGAGTGGGGTCCGTGCCCAGAGGGCGCCCCGAGGCCTTCGGTTTTGAGTGTTTTATTGTTATTATTAATTATTAATTATTATTATTAATTATTATTAATTATTATTATTTTATTAAGGTGAAGCCAGGCTTTGCCGCTCGGGCAGAGTGGATGTCCCAGGCCGTGGGCTGTGCGGATGGGGAGGGCTCGGACCCCTCCGAGGGTCCCATCCCTGTCCCCGCCGCTGTCCCTGCCCCCAGGGATGCTGAGGGGCTGGCAGCAGCCCCCCCGCGCCGTGGGGCAGGGGCGAGCCGTGGGGCTGGGACCCCCCAGCACGAGGTGAAGTCTCGCTGGGGGGGTCTGCGAGGACGTGTCCCCAGCCCCAGCACGGCCACCGCTGTCCCCCCGCAGGACTCGGGTGACCTGGGCTGTCCGCAGCTCTCGAAGGACGTCCCCGACTCCGGAATTTGCCTTTTCCAGCACAAAATTCCCCCTCGGTTTCCCTCGGTGGGACCCCAGGGGGGCTCAGGACCCTCCCCGGTGTCCCACAGCGTGGCACCAACGGGACTTCAGCGGCCGAGCCCGGCTCCAGCCGCACCTGGGGGGGCTCCGGCCTTTTGGGGACCCCTTGCTGCAGCCGCCGATTGGGGGGGGGCTGCACCAGGGTGGGCTGGGGAGGTCCCACGGCCACGCCGGGGCTCGGGGCTCAGCCTCAGCGAGCTGTCCCCGCCTGGGGGGCTGCGAGGGGGGGCCCAGGTGCGCTCAGCCCCCCCAGGCGCGCTCAGCCCCCGCAGCCCCGCGGCTCTGCCTGCCGCGATGGGGCAATGAAGGCTGTAAAACCGGGTGGGGAGGGACGGCGGCCGGGAAACCAGTCCAGCCTGCTGCGGCGTGGGGATCCCGGCCCTCGCCCCGAACCGCGTCCCCCACCCACCCCCGGGCCGCCTCCCGGGGCAGGGAGGGACCGGCCCGGCCGGGGCCCCGGGCTGGGGGCGGCTGCGGGGAGGAAGGAGTGGGGCGGCCCCGGGGGTGCCCCCCGCCCGGCGAGGGGAGCGTTTGTGCTGTGAAGAGGCTGCGGGGCTCTGGGGTTTGGGTTTTGTACTGGAATAAACGCCGCGTGTTTTCCACGCTCCGGCTCTCCGGCTCCATCCCTGCCCAAGGACGCGGGGGTCCGGCGCCCTGACCCCAAATTTTCACTGTCAAATGATTCAGGGGTTCGGCAACTCGACCCCAAATCAACCTTGTCGCAGGATTCAGGCATCCCGACCCCAAATCTGTCCTGCCAAGGGGCTCAGGGGTCCGGAATCCCAACCCCAAATCAACCCTGCCCAAGAGACTCAGGGGTCCGGAATCCCGACCCCAAACCATCCCCACCGAGGGGCTCAAGGGTCAGGAATCCTGACCCCAAATTATCCCCACCAAGGGACCCAGGGTCCAGCACCCCGACCCCAAATCAGCCCTGCCCAAGAGACTCAGGATCCGGCATCCCGACCCCAAATAATTTATTTCAAGGGGCTCAGGGGTCTCACATCTTGACCCCAAATCATTCATTCCAAGGGACCCGGGGGTCTGGGATCCCGACCCCAAACCAGCCCCACCGAGGGGCTCAGAGTCTCCCCCAGCCTGCCCTCGGCTCTCCAAGGCTTCCCAGGACAGGGACCCCGGGGGCTGCTGGGTGTGGGGGTGACAGGGGCTGGGACGGCTGAGCCCCCCACGAGGGTCCCGCATACCGCGGGCCGGGCGCGGTGCTGCCCACGCCGGGGCTGCCCGCGGGGGCGCGGGGTGCCCGTGGGGGTGATGCCCACCCGGAGCTCCGACCCACGGGAACCCCCAGCACACACCCGGGTCCGCCGTCCCTGTCCCACGGGAGGAAATTTGGGACCCCCGTGCCCAGGTTCCTTTGGGAACCTTCCCCCCGACCCACGCGGGTGCCGGTCCCGGTGCCGGTGCCGGTCCCCGCCGCTGCCGCCGTGCGGCCTCCGGCCACCGGGCGCCGCCGTCGCACGGCCGGGGCTGGACAGGGCGGGCCGGGGCTGGACAGGGCGGGCCGGGGCGGGCCCGGCAGCGGCGGAGGGGCGGAAGCAGCGGCAGGTGCGTGGGGACGGGAGGCCCCCGCGGGGTCCCGGTTACCGGCGCTGTCAGGGGGGGTCCCGTCCGCGGTCGGTGCTGGGGGGTCCCGGTTACCGGGGCTGCGGGGGGGGTGGCTCCGGTCCGTGCGGACCTGCGGGGTCCCGGGCGGGGGTACCCCCCGAGTCACCCCGCCATGGGGTCCCTGATGTCCCCCAAGTTTCAGGAACCGCGTCAGCCAACAGCCCCTCCATGCCCAGCCCCAGAGCGACCCTGGGACACATCCAGGGCAGGGACAGGGGGCTGACATCGCCCTGACCCGGTTTAGGATGGCGGGGCACGGTCCTGTGCCCTCGTCCTGCGACTGCTTCGTGGCCATGCCGCCGCACACGGCGTCCCCCGCTGTCATCTTCGGCAAGAACGCCGATCGTCCCCGAGACGAGGTGCAGGAGATCGTCTATGTCCCCGCTGCCACCCACCGGCCTGGGGACAAAGTCCAGGTGAGACCGTGCAGGGCCAAAGGAGCTGTAGGGACATCAGGTGCCAGCTCAGCCGTGTGTGTCCTCCCACTGCAGGGCCAGGGTGGCTGCAGGGACAGAGCACTCACTGCGCCAGGTGTCACCCCGTGTGCCAGGGTGGCTGCAGGGACAGAGCACTCACTGCGCCAGGTGTCACCCCGTGTGCCAGGGTGGCTGCAGGGACAGAGCACTCACTGTGCCAGGTGTCACCCCGTGTCACGCCGTGTCCCCGCAGTGCACGTACCTGGAGATCGAGCAGGCGGAGCGCACGCACGCCGTGGTGCTGAGCCGCCCTGCCTGGCTCTGGGGGGCCGAGATGGGCGCCAACGACTGCGGGGTCTGCGTGGGCAACGAGGGCGTGTGGACCCGCGAGCCCCTGGGCGAGGCCGAGGCACTGCTGGGCATGGACCTGGTGAGGTGAGGAGGGTGAGGACAGTGAGGACGGTGATGATGGTGAGGATGGTGAGGATGCTGAGGACAGCCCCCTGTCCCCGTGCACACGCTGTCCCAGCCCCCAGAGAGGACGGTGATGATGGTGGGGACAGCCCCCTGTCCCCATGCACATGCTGTCCCAGCCCCCGGTGAGGATGGTGATGATGGTGAGGATGGTGATGATGGTGGGGACAGCCCCCTGTCCCCATGCACACGCTGTCCCAGCCCCCGGTGAGGATGGTGATGGTGGTGAGGATGGTGATGGTGGTGAGGATGGTGATGATGGTGGGGACAGCCCCCTGTCCCCATGCACATGCTGTCCCAGCCCCCGGTGAGGATGGTGATGATGGTGAGGATGGTGATGATGGTGGGGACAGCCCCGTGTCCCCGTGCCCGCGCTGTCCCAGCCCCCGGAGACGATGGTGATGGTGGGGCGGATGGTGATGATGGTGGGGACAGCCCCCTGTCCCCGTGCTGTCCCAGCCCCCGGGCTGTCTGACGGGCACTGCTGGCACAGGCTGGGTTTGGAGCGGGGCGGCTCGGCCCGGGAGGCCCTGGAGGTGATGACGGCGCTGCTGGAGCGCTACGGCCAAGGCGGGAGCTGCAAGGAGGAGCCGGTGCCCTTCGTGTACCACAACACCTTCCTGCTGGCCGACCGCGCCGAGGCCTGGCTGCTGGAGACGGCCGGGCGCTACTGGGCGGCGCAGCGCATCCGCGGTGAGCGGGCACCGGGGGGACGGGGGGCACGGGGCGTCCCGGAGCGCCCCGAGTGACCCCCGGGCCCCGCTGGCGCAGAGGGCAGCCGCAACATCTCCAACCAGCTGAGCATCGGCAGCGAGATCACGGCCGAGCACGCGGGGCTGCGGGAGCGTGCGCGCAGCCAGGGATGGTGGAGCGGCCGCGGAGAGTTCAGCTTCGCACGCGCCTTCTCCCTGGAGAAGGAGCCCCCGCGCATGGAGGCGGCCAGGGCACGGCTCCATGCCGGCAGGGAGCTGCTGCAGCAGCACGCAGGTGGGGACACGGTGGGGACACGGTGGGGACAGGACAAGGGATGGGGATGGGGATGGGGATAGCAGGTGGGGACACGGTGGGGACACAGTGGGGACACGGTGGGGACACGGTGGGGACAGGACAAGGGACGGGGATGGGGATGGGGATAGGACTGGGACAGGGACAGGGACGGGACTGGGACGGGGATGGGGATAGGACTGGGAGAGGGACAGGGACAGGGACAGGACTGGGATGGGGATGGGGATAAGACTGGGACAGGGATAGGAATATGATAGAGACAGGAAGGGGGATAGGACAGGTACAGAGATGGGGACAAGAATAGAACAGGGACAGGGATGGGGATACTCATCCATGGCTACCCAAGGGCTGCTTCCACACTGGCAAGGAGCTCTTGTGGCAGCACTCAGGTGGGGACAGGGATGGGGACAGGGACAGGGACAGGGATGGCCACCCATGGCTCGCCAAGGGCTGCTTCTGTGCTGGCACATCCCCTGGGGACAGGGCCTGGCACGGGGACGGCCGCCCACGCCTCGCCCCAGTGCGTCCCCACTGCCCACGGCCGAGCTGGCAGCGCTGAGGTGGCCCTGCCCGTCCCTCCAGGTCACATCACGGCGGAGACGCTGATGTCCATCCTGCGGGACAAGGAGAGCGGCATCTGCGTGGACGCCGAGGGGTTCCGCACGGCGGGCAGCATGGTGTCCGTGCTGCCCCGCGACCCCGCCCTGCCCTGCGTGCACTTCTTCACCGCCACCCCCGACCCCTCCAGGTGAGGCCGAGCCGGGCACGGCGACGTGGCGCTCCCAGCAGCTCCGCTCTCTCACCCCAGCCTCTCCTCCAGGTCTGTCTTCAAGCCCTTCGTGTTCGTGGCCGGCATCAAGCCGGCGCCGCAGGTGAGATCCCCGACCTTCCTGCAGGATCCCGCCAAGCAGATCCCGAGGTTCCAGAGCTCCGTGGATCGGCGGCACGAGCTGTACCGCCGGCATCAGGCGGCGCTGGAGCTCATGGAGCGGGACCCGGTACCGCAGACCCCGCAGAGCCCGCAGAGCCTGCAGAGCCCACAGACCCCACAGAGCCTGCAGACCCCACAGAGCCCGCAGAGCCTGCAGAGCCTGCAGAGCCCTCAGACCCTGCAGATCCCTCAGAACCTGCAAAGCCCGCAGAACCCTCAGACCCCACAGAGCCCTCAGACCCCACAGAGCCCTCAGACCCTGCAGAGCCCACAGACCCCAGAGACCCCGCAGACCCTTCCCCACCCTGCAATGGGATCAAGCCCTGAGCTCTCAGATCCCACCCAGGCTCCCTGCGCTCCCTGACCCAGCCTATCCCGGCAGGAGCGGGGCCAGCGGCTCCTGGGGACGCTGCAGGAGCTGGAGAAGCAGGGCCTGCAGGGCATGCGGGAGCTGCAGGAGGGCACCGTGAGCCCCTGCCCCGAGGAGCTGGCCGACCTCTTCTTCGACTGCGTGGAGGCCGAGATGAAGTTTTACACCTAAACCCCGCACAGGTGGGTGGGCTCGGCTTCCCCCACGGCGTTTTTCACGGACAGGGAATCACAGAACGTTCCCAGAGTCTGACCCTGACTCTTCCTGATCCCTCCGGGGGTCCCAGCCCCCAGTTCAGCCTGCAGCACTGGGAGGTGGCCTCAGGCTGGAATGAGGCGCAAGGGGAAGGACAGGGATGTGGGGTGGGATTGGGGGTCCTGCCCACCGCCCCGTGTGTGCTTTCCCCCGTTTCCAGCCCCTCAGGGAGGCATCCACATGGACTGGGGTGGGAAGAAAGTCTTTATTCCCGGCTGCTGCTGCAGGATATTTGGGATAACTGCCCATTTCCTGCTCCTTTGGCACGAGTCTCCTTCTCCAGAGCCTCGCCTGGGGGCTGGATGGCGCCAGGAGCTGGCTGGGACCCGCCGGACGCCGGCAGAGGTGACAGCTGTGCCCCTGGCTCCCCCTGGGGACACGGCCGGGCTGTGCTGTCCCACCCCGCGCCCAGCAGCAGAGCCCGGCGCTCCCGCAGCTCCTCCAGCCGCGCCCGGTGCTCCTCGCGGCTCACGGAGCGCCTCCACCGCGCCCGCCCCGCCAGCTCCCGCTGCACGCCCGCGAGGAAACCTGCAGGGACCGGGACCAGGACCGGGACCGGGACAGGGACAGGGACAGGGACAGCAGCTCCAGATGTGGCACTGCCAGCCCCGAGAGCCAGAGGGCCGCGTGTCCCCTCAGACCCCACAGAGCCCTCAGACCCCACAGAGCCCTCAGACCCTGCAGAGCCCACAGACCCCAGAGACCCCGCAGACCCTTCCCCACCCTGCAATGGGATCAAGCCCTGAGCTCTCAGATCCCACCCAGGCTCCCTGCGCTCCCTGACCCAGCCTATCCCGGCAGGAGCGGGGCCAGCGGCTCCTGGGGACGCTGCAGGAGCTGGAGAAGCAGGGCCTGCAGGGCATGCGGGAGCTGCAGGAGGGCACCGTGAGCCCCTGCCCCGAGGAGCTGGCCGACCTCTTCTTCGACTGCGTGGAGGCCGAGATGAAGTTTTACACCTAAACCCCGCACAGGTGGGTGGGCTCGGCTTCCCCCACGGCGTTTTTCACGGACAGGGAATCACAGAACGTTCCCAGAGTCTGACCCTGACTCTTCCTGATCCCTCCGGGGGTCCCAGCCCCCAGTTCAGCCTGCAGCACTGGGAGGTGGCCTCAGGCTGGAATGAGGTGCAAGGGGAAGGACAGGGATGTGGGGTGGGATTGGGGGTCCTGCCCACCGCCCCGTGTGTGCTTTCCCCCGTTTCCAGCCCCTCAGGGAGGCATCCACATGGACTGGGGTGGGAAGAAAGTCTTTATTCCCGGCTGCTGCTGCAGGATATTTGGGATAACTGCCCATTTCCTGCTCCTTTGGCACGAGTCTCCTTCTCCAGAGCCTCGCCTGGGGGCTGGATGGCGCCAGGAGCTGGCTGGGACCCGCCGGACGCCGGCAGAGGTGACAGCTGTGCCCCTGGCTCCCCCTGGGGACACGGCCGGGCTGTGCTGTCCCACCCCGCGCCCAGCAGCAGAGCCCGGCGCTCCCGCAGCTCCTCCAGCCGCGCCCGGTGCTCCTCGCGGCTCACGGAGCGCCTCCACCGCGCCCGCCCCGCCAGCTCCCGCTGCACGCCCGCGAGGAAACCTGCAGGGACCGGGACCAGGACCGGGACAGGGACAGGGACAGGGACAGCAGCTCCAGATGTGGCACTGCCAGCCCCGAGAGCCAGAGGGCCGCGTGTCCTGTCCCCAGCCCGGCACCTCTGTCCACAGTGAAGGGAGCCCTCAGCTCAGGGAGCAGCTCCTCATCCTCCTCCTCCTCCTCCTCCTCCTCCTCCTCGCTGCTGCAGGAGCCGCCTCCCGCCCCTTCCTCGGCCGCGTTTCCATGGGCGGGCTGGGAATCCAGCTGCAGGAGCTGGGGCAGGGCTGCCAGCACCCGATCCCTGTGGGAAACATGAAGGAAAAGCCAAATTTTCTGCAGCTGTGGGATTGGGAGTGGGTGTCCCATCCTCCCTCAGCCCACCAGAGCCTGAGGGCGGAGAAGAGAGATTCAAATCCCTGGGATGTGGAGAGCAGGGATTCACATCCCGGGGTTTGAGCAGGGATTCACATCCCTGGGGCTTGGAGGGCCAGGCTGTGTTTGATATCTCATGGAATGGTTTGGGTAGGAAGGGACCTGAAATCCCACCCAGTTCCAATTCAGGAACACATTCCCCACCCCAGCCTGCCCCAAACTGTCCTGGGACCCTGCCAGGGATTCTCTGGGAATTCCATTCCACCGCCTCCCCACCCTCCCAGCCAGGAATTCCTTCCCAAAATCCCCTCTGGCAATGTGAATCCATTCCCCCTTGGCCAAGCCTCTTTCCCAGCTCTCGGGAAAGGCCACAGCTGGGGGACCCCGAGGCGTGTCCCCGTTTTTGGGGGGCTGCAGGGCCCTCCTGCCCCACCTGTATCCATCCTGCCGCGTGCACGGGTTCCCTGCCAGCTCCAGGATCCGGAGGCTGCGGGGCAGCTCCTCTGCCAGGACACAGGGAAAGCACAGAGGGGCTGAGCTGGGCCAGGACTGCTGCCCCCCAATCCCCCCAGCTCCCCCACGCCTGAGGCAGCTCCCACTCCCGGGGAAACTGAGGCAGGGGGGAGGGAAAGGGAATTGCAGCCATCCCTGGAGCCGTTCTGCTCCCCACCAGGGAAACTGAGGCAGGAGGGAGGGAAAGGGAATTGCAGCCATCCCTGGAGCCCTTCCTGCTTCCCAGCAGGGAAACTGAGGCAGGGGGGTGGGAATTGCAGCCATCCCTGGAGCCATTCCTGTTCCCCAGCAGGGAAACTGAGGCAGGGAGAGCAGGAATGGGAATTGCAGCCATCCCTGGAGCCCTTCCTGCTCCCCACCTGTGGCCAGCACCTGGATCAGGTTGTGGGACAGGTCCAGGACGCTCAGCTGGGGCAGCCCCTGCAGGTTTTCCACCCTCTGGATGCGGTTCCCAGCCAGGCAGAGGAACCTGGAGAGCTCAGGGGGGGTCGGGGGGATGTCACAGCCCCCTGGGGACACCCGGTCCCCTTCCCCAGCCCAGGGACCCTCGGGAGGAGGAGCTGCTGTACCTCAGGTTGGGGAAACACTCCAAATTCTCGATCTTCTCAATTTGGTTCTGGAAAATAAAATAGGAAGAACCCCAGCGTGGTTTTTATTTTGCCTGCTGAGTGAAAATTCCCATTTTGGGAACGCTCTGGGATTGAATCCCTGCTCCAACCAACCCTGGGGGCAACCCAGGAGATTCTGGGGAGGGAATGGGGTGGGGGGACACGGAGAGACCCCAAAATTCAGGGCCCTGAGTGTCCTCGTATGGGTTTGGGAACACTGGAATTCCAGGAGGGTTGGAATGGGGGGGCTCAGAGACCCCCGTGGTGGGTCTGGGGGATCACTGGGACAAAACCCTCTAGGGTGGGGGGCTCAGAGACCCCCGTGGTGGGTCTGGGGGGTCACTGGGACAAAACCCTCTAGGGTGGGGGGCTCAGAGACCCCCGTGGTGGGTCTGGGGGGTCACTGGGACAAAAGCCTCAAGGGTGGGGGAAACTGTTCCCTTCTGGATACTGGGGAGGGAAAACAGGAGCAGGACTGGGGGTCCCTGTGCCCCCCGGAGCAGGATTGGGGTGCCTGTGCCCCCAGGAGCAGGATTGGGGTCCCTGTGCCCCAGGATCAGACCCGGGGGTCCCTGTGCCCCAGGATCAGGACTGGGGTCCCTGTGCCCCAGGATCAGACCCGGGGGTCCCTGTGCCCCCGGACCAGACCCGGGGGTCCCTGTGCCCCAGGATCAGACCCGGGGGTCCCTGTGCCCCCCGGAGCAGGATTGGGGTCCCTGTGCCCCAGGATCAGACCCGGGGGTCCCTGTGCCCCAGGATCAGGACTGGGGTCCCTGTGCCCCCGGACCAGACCCGGGGGTCCCTGTGCCCCCAGGAGCAGACCCGGGGGTCCCTGTGCCCCAGGATCAGACCCGGGGGTCCCTGTGCCCCAGGACCAGACCCGGGGGTCCCTGTGCCCCCGGACCAGACCCGGGGGTCCCTGTGCCCCCCGATCAGGCTGCCCCCAGCTCCGTACCTGCTGCAGGTAGAGGCTGAGGGTGGTCCCCGTTCCCCGGCTCCTGCCGATGCAGCAGATGTTCTCCCGGTCCAGGCGCACGGTGCCGCTGGGGCTGCGGGGACACGGGCAGGGGGTTTTGGGGTGCCCGGAGCCCCCTCCCTCCCTGCGGGGCTCGGGGGATGCTCACCGGCCGCGGGCGAGGAGCAGGCTGTCGCTGAGGGTCACCCCTGGGCACGGCTCCGCAGGGGCTGCGGGAATTGGGGGGGGGTCCGGGGCAGGCCGCAGCCCCTCCTGCCCCAGGAGCCCCCCGGCGTCTCGCTCACCCCCACAAAGGGGCTCAGCCATGGCGGGGTGGGCTGGGGTCCTTGTCCCCTCCTCAGGGGGGATGGCAGCAGCTGGGTCTGGGGGAACAGAGGGGACAAACCTGCGGGTGGGCTGGGGTCAGGGCTGGGACCCCGCGGGGGGCAGAGGGGCTCTGTATCCAGGGGGGTTATGGCACTGGAACCGGGGGTCACCAGGGCCAGGAGCCCAGAGACCCCCGGGATGGGGCTGGGGGTCACCGGGACTAGGCCTCACGGGACGGGGGCTCTCAGAGACCCCCGAGATGCAGCCACGGCAGCTCAGCGGGACCGGGTACCGCGGGTTTGGAGCTGAGAGACCCCCGGAAAGGCCAGGGGGCTCACCGGGAGCGGTTCCCCGGGTGTGGGCTCAGAGTTCCTCACTCTGGGGGGCTCAGCGACCCCCGGGCCCGCGCCCAGGCCGCGCCGCGCCGTTGCTATGGAGACGGGCGCGCCGGAAGTGGCGCTCCTCCACCTTCCCACAGGCCCTTGCGCGGCCGCGGCCAAGATGGCGGCGCTGGGAAGCGGCGGGGCGCGATGGCGGCGGGGTGAGGGAACGGGAACGGGAACGGGAACGGGGCTGGGACAGGGACAGGGACTGGGACGGGACTGGGACTGGGACTGGGACTGGGGCTGGGACGGGACTGGGACTGGGACTGGGACTGGGACGGGACTTGGACTGGGACTGGGACGGGAACGGGGATGGGACAGGGGCCTGGAATGGGGACGAGAACGGGGACGGGATTGGAACAGGAAAGGGAACCGGGCTGGGACAGGAATGGGAATGGGAACGGGAACGGGACAGGAATGGGAACAGGACTGGGACAGGAATGGGAATGGGATTGGAACAGGATTGGGAACGGGAACGGGACTGGGACGGGGACAGGAACGGGACGGGGAATGGGGACGAGAGTGGGAAGGGAATGGGAACGGGACAGGGACAGGAACGGGAACGGGACAGGAATGGGAACAGGACTGGGACAGGAATGGGAACGGGATTGGAACAGGATTGGGAACGGGAACGGGACTGGGACAGGAACGGGACTGGGACGGGGACAGGAACGGGACGGAGGAACGGGAACGGGACTGGGACAGGAACGGGACGGGGAATGGGGACGGGACAGGGACATGGGCCTGAGATGGGAATGGCCCGGGCTGGGACGGGGCTTTGGAGCGGGAGCGGCGCTGACGCTGCCCCGCAGCCTGGCTGCCCGCCCTGCAGCTGCTGCGGCGCGGCTCCAAGGCGGTGACGCGGCACTGGAAGGCCATGCACTTCCAGCGGCAGAAGCTGCTGGCCCTGACCGAGTACCTGCCCCCGCGGCCCGCCCTGCCGCCGCGCTGCCTGCCCCGGCCCGGCCCCCGCGACTCGCAGGTACGGCTCGGCTCGGCTCGGCTCGGCTCGGGGGTCCTGCAGCTGTGGGACAGCCCTGGGGTGGGGTGTGGGGGGGCTGGGAAACAGGGGATACCCCGCGTGTGGCACCTTGAGATCCACGGGGTCACTGAGATCCGTGGGGGCACCCTGAGATCCATGGGGGCACCTCGGGATCCATGGGGGCACCTCGGGATCCGTGGGGGCACCTCGGGATCCATGGGGGCACCTCGAGATCCATGGGGGCACCCTGAGATCCATGGGAACACCTCGGGATCCGTGGGGGCACCTCGGGATCCGTGGGGGCACCTCGGGATCCATGGGGGCACCTCGAGATCCATGGGGGCACCCTGAGATCCATGGGGGCACCTTGGGAATCCATGGGGGTACCTCAAAACCCATGGCATCACCTCACAATCCTCGGGTCCATCTCCCCCCAGCAGTTCCAGCTGCAGGATCACACCAGGGGTCCCACACCGTCCCCCTGTCCCCACATCCTAGATCCCTGTCCCCAGGGCTGTCCCCTGTCCCCACACCCACACTGTGTGTCCCCAGGAGGACGGCCACGTGTGGGTGCTGTGTCCCCAGGGCTGTCCCCTGTCCCCAATCCCCTCACTCCCTGTCCCCAGGAGGACAGCTACGCGCGGGTGCTGTGTCCCCAGCGCTGTCCCCTGTCCCCAGTC